GTGCGTATCAATCCAAGAAGTTTCGCTTTTTAGTAACAGGGGACGAGTCTTGGTTTCAATATGCAACAGAAGCCAAAATCATGTGGATCCCGAAGGATGAAAATCCGCAAACATTCCCGAAGAAAAAAATTGACACACCAATGATGATGTTGTCGGTTTTTTGGGGCGTGAATGGCATCATCGCAATTGATATTCTTCAAAAACTTAATACGATGAATGCTCAGTATCTAATTGACAATGTTCTTACTCAAATTATCAATTCTGATGAGTTTGAGAAATCCAAACAACAAAAACAAAAGTTTGCAATTCATTTTGATAATTCAAGAGTTCACAAAAGTCATAAGGTAATGAATTACTTGGTGGAAAACAATGTCAAAGTTGTTCCAAACCCAATTTATTCACCTGATATTGCACCCTCTGACTTTTATTTATTCGGCACGCTAAAAAAGAGAGCTGAAGGACGCGAATTCGCGAGTCCAGATGATCTTGAAAATTTTGTAAGAGAGCAATTTGAGCAATTTTCTCATGATGATTTAAAGCGTGTCTTTCAAGCCTGGATCGATCGCTGCGAACGCGTGATTGAATCCAATGGTGATTATATTTAAATAAACTTTATATATATGTAACTTGTTTATTTCTATTCGCAGTATTCAGGTTTGTGCTAAACACACCTTTGGACACCCTATATTATGGCAATTTCAAATAGAAAAAATAGCTGATGAGATAACAGATTAAATATTTATTTTTAAATCATAATAAATGATTAAACAACAGCAACCACAACAACTTAAGGCACAAAACACCCAGGTCCTTCAGACCATTACATATGCCATATATGCATATAATTCAAAGACGGCAGAACAAACGCAAAGGTTGAAATATGGAGATTTGGAGATAGTATTGAAAAATGACCATTTCGAATTCGTTTGCAAAGGTGGTGCAGTGATATCAAATATAAAAGAAATTTTATTTATGAATTCAAAAATTAAAGGAATAACGGATGATATAACATCAATTCCACCAGAAGAACAGAGATATTACGCATTAAATGCATTTCCTAAAGTTTTGAAGATTGGAAGATTTAATTTAAATGAGGAATTCATAGAAGGTTTCCTAAACGACATAATGAAGAAGGCAGATAAGGAATATGTGGATAGTGAATTAAATAAGAAAGCAAATTTGGTTTATGTTGATGAAAAAGATAATGAAATTAAAGAAAAGGTTGAATGGTATCATGAATGGACATTTGAGACTTTTAAAGTTAAAGCTGATACAGAATGGGTTTCAGGATGTTTAGACCTTAAAGCAGATAAAACATATGTTGATGAAAATTATGCAAAGAAGTCGGAAGTAAATGATGTGATTACAAGCATGAAAAATGAAATACTTCAAACATTATATCCTGTTGGTTCTATTTATACATCAATGAATTCAACAAATCCAGCAAGTGTTTTAGGTTTTGGTACGTGGAAGCAGATTGTAGATAAATTCTTATACTGTGCTAGATATTCAAAGCAAACAGGAGGTTCGAAGAAAATTAAAGAAGCAAACCTTCCACCGCACACTCATACAGGAACTACAAACTTTTCTGGTGACCATATCCACTCATTAAGAGACCACCCATTATACAACTCAGAGTATGAAGCTGGCTATGATGTTTTATCTCCAGATTATAACCATTCAGCAAAAAAGACTTTTCGACCAACTGAACCAGGAGGAAATCATGTCCATACTTTCACAACAAATCCAACAGGCTTGGGTAAAGATTATATGCCACCATTTGTGACTGTATTCGCATGGTACCGCGTTCAATAAACACACTTGAGCCTATTTTGCAGGCTTACCGATTTCAATAAACACACTTGAGACTTGACCCAAAGGGTTTGGGCTTACCGAATGAACTAAATATATTTTATGTCTGTAATTAATTAGGTAATGAAGTAATAGATGAACTGCAGAAATATATGTTTACGTTAAGTGACTCAAAGAGTCCGGAGACAAAGTCTCATGTTTCAGGTTATTCAATAATTAATTATTTTTGAAGAACTGAAGGTGTCACCACGTCACCATGTCACCAGGTTAATTAACTTCTCTGAAAAAATGAGACAACATGACATTTTGACAACAGTCCCGGAAATATATTTTATCATTTATGGTTTCAGGTTATTCAATAATTAATTATTTTTGAAGAACTGAGGGTGTCACTACGTCACCATGTCACCAGGTTAATTAACTTCTCTGAAAAAATGAGACAACATGACATTTTGACAACAGTCCCGGAAATATATTTTATCGTAAATGTTTTGTCATGATTTCATCGTATATCCTTTGTCAATACTTCATTGTATATCCTTTGTCAATACTTCATCGTTAATGTTTTGTCAAAACTAAACGTTAATGTTTTGTCATGGTTTCATCGTTAATGCTTTGTCATGACTTTGTCAAGACTTATGAAGGAGGCGTTGAAGATGTTATACCATCTAAGAACTTGAGAGAATCGAAGCCAACACATCTGGGACCATTAGAGCGGGAGTACTGGAAAGACAAAAATATGCCAGAAAGAATAAGAAAATTCTTCTAAACTTTTTCATTAGATGTAAATCAGACATGAACGAGAACAGTCATGATATCATTAATGGTACCATTTATTTTAACATAAAGACGCAAAGCGGCGAGGACGAAGTCCATGACCAAAAATAATGTTTATGTTAGCATGTTAGATCTAACACGTTTTCTAACCACTTTTCTAACATGGTCTAAAACTCTCGAAAATCATGAATTTTTGACATTTCCTTATGAAAGAAAAATAACGCTAATTTTTTTCTAAGAAAAATTTTTATCTTGTATGTAAAGATATGATTTCAACAATAGGTTCTACAACACTTCAAACAACAACTTCACCAAACTCTTTAGTTATGAATCCAACATCTATGTTAGTAGAGATGAAAAGCTTCATTCCTTCTTCATATACTTTTGAGACAGAAATACAAAGAATTAAGCAAGAACTTTTAACAAGTAATTTAGACTGTAGTGCGAAAGATGAAACAAATGAACAGTATCTTTATGACATGCAGGACATTATTGACCATTTACTCAAATTGCCTGAAATCCAACAACAAAAGCTCACTATTCATGAATTCGATGAAATAGAAGTGAAACCAACTGACTCAGTAGAAATAAAGAAGTTCATACGTAAAGTAAACTATGAGTTTCTAGGATATCATTGCAACCATAAAGTTATGGACAAAGATTGCGACATGGTATATAAGAACATCTCTGACATATATAAATCTGGGGAGTTTAAGACATACGACAACTTTGTTTCATTAGTTGCTGAATGTGTATGGCAGATAAGAGATAAAGATAAAAGATGTAAAATATGGAATGGACAAATAAAACCAACAACTTTTGAGTTAAAGAAAACCATTGACGCCTTAGTTGTTCTAGCAGGTCAAATTTCAATGTATAACGCAAAAATGAATCCGCAATGTTCAAAATGTAAAGCAGCAATAAGGAAATATAACTACTCCGTCAAAGAGATAGAACGTATGCGAAACGACTATGCTGACTTAAAGAAAGAAGTAGAGAAACCAGCAGAAGATAAAATGGACATGTTAGCATTTCTGAACAAAAACTATCCAACAGCTGACGATTTCCTATTATCTGATGTCAAGAAGAAGTATAAAGAAACCTTCGGCATAGTTAAAATTTTTGATATTCTTCGTGAAGAAATAGAAGCTACAAAACTGTTTAAAGTCATGAACCATCGCAAGTTAGTATGGTTATCTTGGGTACGGCGGCACTGCGTTCCACCTTACCCAATATAACCTTAAATATTTACAAAACCAGTAACGTATATTTTACAACACAAAACGACAACACTCACTTAACCTTAAATATTTACAAAGCCGCCAACCACTTCACTAACGAGCTCACCAACATTTTCGCTAACGACTTCACTAATGAAAAAATAAACGTTCTCACTAACGTTCCCACTAATGTTCTCATTTACAAAAGTATTGCAGCGCTTCCCATTGCTGTGCTTCACATAACAGCTCATAATCTTCTGACTCACTTTCTTCTTCATATAGGTCAAAATCACTGTCATAGTTTATACCTGTAAGTTTTGACAAAGCTAATGAAACACGTTTACCATTTGTATCTATTGCTTTTATATATCTCCCATTATGTTTGTTGTCGTAAACGCTCAAACTAACTTTACCCTTTCTCCCTCGTATCTGATAGAATGTATTTTCACGAGGAACGAAGAACAAATTCTTGAACTCATGACCGTTGTAGTTTGTTATCTCAATAGTTTTCGTCATTTATATAAAAATAAAATAAAAAATAAACTTAAAAATAAACTTAAAAATTAATGATATCACCACCCTCACACGTATGAAAACATAGCACAAAAATAAATTTAGGTGAAGTGGTGAAATCTCACCTCTTTTTTCACCTCTTTTTTCACCCACTTGAATTCATTGCTTTATAACTCTCTTCCTTTCTCCAACTCTTCTAACTTCTTCTTAAGTTCAGCAATGTTGTCCTCATGAAGTTTAATCTTTCTCAAAATTCCTTCTTTATCTAATGGTTGCTTTATCTTTCTAAACTGAACTCTACCATCCTTCATAGTATGAACGTAAAAACCTTCTGGAACCGCTCCTGATTTAATGTATTCTACCAAAAATTTTTGTTTCATTGCTTCAGTGACTTTAGTCGTCATTTTACTCTAAATAAAATGTTCAAATAAAATAAAACTAACATTATTTTTTCAGTAAGGAAACGCAGGAGTTTTACGATTTATTTGAGGAGTAGGTTCTGGTTTAAATGTTGGAGTCGGTTTTGGAGTTGACTTTTGAACAGGAGTTTGTACTTTCATAGGTTCAGGAGTCATTGAAGGTGTTGTTTGTGAAGGCGTTGGTTTTGACGTTGGTTTTGGCGATGGTGTCGGAGTTTGTTCAAATTCAGCTACTTCAGTATTATTTATAACATTTGCTTTATTTCTTTTCAACATCATAACTGCTCCTGCTGTAGCTAGCAAACCTAGTGGGAGACCAAATGCTATTTTTGACAGGAGCTGGTGGAACACCTAACCTTGGTGAGACTGCTCTTTGCCATTGTGCAGCTCGTAAGAAATATTCAATAGGTGCTCCATAATCGTTTGGTAAAGTTTGTTTCATAGATGGTGAAGGTTCACGAGAGCTTGATGAAGAACTCATTTATAAGCTTTAAAAATAAACGTTCATCCTTTATTCCTCACTGTCGTCCGTAGCTAAGTTATAGTCATCTAATCTTATTATTGGGATTCCATTAGCACGCACCTGAATGGCAAAGCAACAATCCCTCATAAATCCAATAAGTGGCTTTGGTACGTTTTCAGTTGCTAGTTCAATAGGTCCTTTAACAGACAATTTGTATGTTATTGGAGCAGTAGATGTTTGACCTTGCTGGAAGCAAAAGTCCACTTCTGTTGGAAAACCACATAAGAAATGTGTGTTGTCATAGCTATCCATTTATGTTCCACACTACCCATCCACAATGACCTCATAACATCTTCATTAAATCCTATCATATCATTGTTTGTATTGCAGGCGTTCGCAACCATTTCATAAAATACAGGTCCATATGATTTTTCAGGTTCTGCAGGCATATTTCCATAAGCTCCCATGGAAAGCTGAAGATATTTAAACTTAGGGTTCTCAAAATTAACATAATAGTTGTCTTTCTTTCTAAATAGTGCCCAAATACTTTTAACATTAATAGGCGTATAAGCTGCTGTAAATGTTGCACTTGAAACTATCTGTATTCTTTGAGAATGAACCGTCCATAGGAATCCAATCCATAACTTTAACAGGAAAACAAAAGCCTCGTTTGTATAATGTTCTACAAGTTCTGTATAAATGTTAGGGTCTAAAGAGAATGACTTTGGATGAATGAAACATTCATTAAAATCCATCTTGTTCGAAATAGTTGCTGGTTTACAGTTGTAATAGTAACTGTTCCACTAGCTTTACTGCCTTCGTTATCATAGTGAATGGTTCATTCCATGGAACAAATTTATTTGTCGGTGGATTTGAATCTGAAGCAAATGCAACTTTAAGAGTTGGATTGAAAGCAATGATATCATTTACAGATATAGATGTGCATTGTAAGGCGTCGCTACTGAACTTTACTTTAAGCTGAATGTTTCCTGCAAAAGCTGGAATAAATCGAATAGCTTCTAATGGAAGGAATCTTCTAACAGGAATTCTTAAACGAAGCTTAAAATCAAATGATTTTCCTGCTGTAATTGGACCACTAACAATTTGTCCTGTTCTGCATGTTCCCGAATGACTCCATACATCTTCATGTCGAGTCTTTGAGAAAACATCTACTTTTTTATTTGTTCGGTAGTTTGTGAGTTTGAAGTTATATATGCTTCTTCTCTTGCGTTGTCTTGAGAATATACGATACGACCATTTGCAAGGATTTGATATCCAGCAACTGCATAGAAAGCGTCATCGAAACCAATCCAAAATCCTGGTGGGTTTGTTTTATTGGAACCTGAACCAATTTCTTTATCTACAATAAATTGACCTTCCATTTTATACGTAATGAATGTATTGTAAAGGTCCAACATATTTTCACCAGGAGGTGAGAGATTGAATGTTACCCATGTGTTATCTTTAGCAGTTCCAGGTTGTGATGGAATCTTTGCGTCAGAATATTTTCTATTAGTGTCACCAATTTGAACTGCATTGTCTATGATATCGAAATATGAGCGAATCTGATGAATATGCTCTGCTGGAGTAAATTCGTTTAACTGTTCGTTCTGCATGTATTTACTTCAGATAAAAATATCTATTTACTTCATATTCTCACTCTTCTTCTTGGTATTCGTGGTGGAAGTTGTTTCTTGACATTTTCAATGAACTGTACATTCTCTTTTGTCTCAACTTCTTTCACTGGCGGGTCAGGGTTCTTTGACTCGGTTTGTTTTTTCAATGAAATTCACGAACTTTGCAATAAGCTCTTGGTTCGTTATTGAAAGTACATCTGGCTTCTTTTCTTCTTGTTCTTTTGGTGGCTCAGTTTGAACAGAAGGTTTTATATGGGCTTCGTGGACTTCACCCTTGTCATGCACCTTAATGTTGTCGCTCTCTGTATTCGCTAATGGAACCTTTCTTTTTCTTACGTATATTTACCATCTTTACTCTGACTTACGTAATAGAAAGGATGTTGTATTCCTCTTGCGTCATTTAATATAATAGACTCTTCGTTCTGATTTTGACAAGCTCATTTTACATCGGTTAAAGTTTTAATTTAGTTTTTTATCTACAGTCAAATGACTCAGACAAGCCCTACGGACAAGACCCAAGGGGTCATAGATGTTGAAGCATTGAAGAAAGAAATTCGTGAGCAAATTTTATCCGAACTGAAGGAACAAAAACAAGAACAAAAGCCAGAGAGACCAAAGAGAAAACTTAGTGAAAAACAACTAGCTGCATTAGCTGCTGGAAGACAGAAGAACCCACGTTTGCTGGCGAAAAAAGCTAGAGAAGAAGCAAAAGCAAAGGAAGAACAAAAAGCAAGGAAGCTGAAGCAAAGAAAGAGTAAATGGTTTATTTTTATCCAAACTAAATGTATAGACAAATACCTTTATCTGTTGCGTTCAGTAGTGAAAACCCTGACGTCAAAATAAGGGAACAGAGTAACGTTTAAGTTTCCAACAGACTGGATTGTGAACATAAATGAAGAGAAGTACATTGGCATAACATCTATGTATATAACACGTGCTTTCAGAAAGGTTGACTTTATACTTCAAGTCGAGATAGAAAATGACGAACAGTCTTTAAGCGCCCAAAACATTCACATATACAAATACTTTAAAGACGATACAACATTGTTGCAATGTATGATTTCATTTAATGAGATGTTCGAGAAAAAGTTCAACATTGAAGTACAAACTTTACAGCCTTTACGTGAGTTTCTTGCACAACTGAAGGAAGAAGGTAGTCAGCCACAACTTATAGACTTTCATTATGAATTAATGAAAATGAAGATGGAACACATGACTGTCAATTCATTGTATTCTCACCATTCAATGAAGTCGCTAAAAGAAAGAAAATCCATTACGTATAAGGTTTCAAATCTCTGAACCCAATGATGATTTTAAGAATGTTTTCAATTATGATGCAATGCTTCCGAGGAAAAATGAATTTTCAAAGATTGTAACACCTGGCATTTGGGATAGAAAGCAAGCAATACTTTACTCTAATATAGCCAAAGGCGTTGAAAATGAGTTCATTTGGTCATACAAGAACTTCACCACTTCTAACCCTAAATACTATAATTAACTGGCTTCAATCGTGAGTTTTGGATAAATGTTCTCCACTCATGACCATAAATGTCCAGTGTTCTTGCTCCAGATGGGAAGGACTGTCTCTACATTGAAGCACAACTCTTAAACTCTACATCGCAGTATTGTAAAATCTACGCTAGCTTTATTTTTATCACGAATGACCTCATTGCTGACAAAAATAACCGCTAGCGGCAAGGGCGAAGCCATGACCTCATTCATCCTCATTGCTGACAAAAATAAGCCGCTAGCGGCAAGGGCGAAGCCCATGACCTCAGAACTTCAACTTACGAATAAAGCTTGTTTTAGTCGTTATTGAAAAGTTGAACTTTTCAGCAAAGCAGTTGACATGACTTACATAAGTCGAATGCAATCTCTTGACCATCATAAAGTGCTTTGTAAAGTTTCATTAAACTGAACTCAGAGTCTTTGTCATATGTTCCAACAGGTATGTGAATGTTCTTATCTTCATTGTAATAGCATTGTATAGCTTCAGGAAACATTTCATTAGCGGTTAAAGCAATAACATTCTTCACGCCTTTCATTCTGCAGTGAAATGCAACTTCATTTAAATCGTTAGTGAGTAAGTCTATGTAGGTCTTCTTTCCACAGAAATACTTTTATAAGTAAACTTTGTTTTCCAGGTGTTATTTCTGCAAAGTCGCTATGAAATTGACCAAGGTTCTTTCCTATAAGTTCGCGACCATATCTCTTCTTAAACTCTGCTGCAAGCTTTGGTATGTCTTCATTATATAAGTGCATACTGTCGGTATCCTGGTAAAAGATTTGAAGACCATATCTTCAGCAGTACAGAATACTTCATTCATAATACGTTTTGAACATAGACAGATATTAACACCAAGTGGAGAAGTTAAAGTGTTGCAAATGCTTTTCGTTAGCTTGAAAATAGTTTTATCTGAACCATCCAAACCTTCGAACTTCACTATATGGTTGTATTTCTTATAGCATATCTTATAGCATCTTTGTCATTTACTATGGTTTATTTTTGACTCAATAGGAGATAGAATAGTTTTGCATAAATGCTGTTCAGAATGAGTTTTTATAATTTCTTGTAATGGGTTCCTTCTTTCTTATACTTTAACCTTAACTCAAACAACTTCTTTACTTCATCTCTTATTCTCATATCTCTGTTTCCATCGTAATAGTATCCTTGCAACACTTCACATTTGACCTGATATTTTATGAGGTCTTGTAATGTATATGGTCAACATACATGAGACAGCAAGTGTTTGAACTTCTTGGAACGTTAAGTTCTGGATTTAGTTCGGGTCGCAAACTATTAAATGAAGGTCTGGGTATACCAATCTCTGTTATCTTAATGAGAACAAAGAAGCCAGACATAAACTTTTCACCAATGGGTTCCTTTTGGTCATCATCGAATAAATGTCTCATGAGATACTCTGTGCTTAACATTTCTTCCTTCAATACTTTTGGAATACCTTCTAAAGTATAAAGTCTTGCTATAGCTGAAGGATATAATGAAACAGTGTCGAAGTCAGCAATGAGTTTCTTTTTGCTCTTTTGTTTCATGTTATCTGACAACATACATCTTCCACCTTGAATGCATCTCGAAATAAATTCTCTTGGTTTATTTGAGAGGTCATAAAGATTTCCATTCGGGAAGTATACTCTGTTCTCAAACAATTTGTTAGCAATAGAACAAATACTAACGTAGTCATAAACGTTTAAATCAAACTCTTTCAATAAGTCATTGCGGAACTTTACAAAACCTTCTCTTAAAATTCTTACATCTTGTTTGCAGTAAAACGTGCTATATTTTTCTAAGTCGAAGTGGTTTTCATCTATTCTGCAACCTTTGATGGAATCTATGTTTTTCATGAATGTATCTGCATCATGGATAAACTTACATGCTTCAGAAATGACACCAGTTCTGTTGTCATTTGCTAACAAAACACTGCTGTAGTAGTTATATGGAAATACTTCTTTCGGTCCTGTTTGTAAGTTAAACATAGCAGGAAATAGTTTAAGCTTCTTATTTATAACACTGTAAGAGTCTTTTATAATAATTGCCCGTCCTTTATATAAACCAGTTATTTGCATTGTTCGTGAACCTTTAATGATGGGAGTTCCTTTCACTTCTGTCATGTGTCTTAAGATGAAGTTTATGTCATAACTGAGGTTGTGGAAATATATTAAACTCTTGTCAGGAAGTCTTTCCAAAAATTCTGTTGCACAGTTTTGACCCCAAATGCTTTCACTCACTGAACCATCTTCACTGTCATAACAGATGTTAAAAGCTTTATGAAAGCCGTCTGTGCTACACTCAAAGTCAGCAAAGAAAACGTGCTCAGGAATGAATTTACATTTAGCTTTATTTACTTCTTTTGACTCTGCTTTCTTCTTCAGTTGTACACAATACTTTGGAGCATATGTCAAATCTTTAAATGGTGCAAGGTTCTGTTTATATAAGTCAGTAGTATATGTGAAAAGTTCTCCATAAGAAATAGGTTCGAAATATTTGCACTCCCACAATGTTTTCATAACATCCCATAGCGGTGTTGTTCTATCATAACGAACTACATATTTATCTTCTCTCTTTGTATAAATCTTCATCTGTTTCTCAATGTTCATTCCACCACACTCCTTCAAGATTTCTATATAGTTTCGAATGAAGTATGTTGTCATTGGTAATCTTTCATTTAGCATGTAGTGGTCTTCAACAAGAAGTAAGTCAATAGTTCTAACAGTTTCGCATTCTTTTGGTATATATCTCTTTATTTCATTATGTCTTGAGTCATTGAAATAACCAATGGTAACATTAAATGCTATACCTGTTGAATCGAAATTTCTTGTACTTTACTTTGAGGAAAGTCTCTAACACGAATGACTTCTCTCATGTGGTCAATAGTTTCTTCATTTACTCCAGCCTGAATGCAAGCATAAACGAAACAATTGTCCTCTGTCATAAGTGTTGCAGTTCTTTTGTTCAGTTCATTGAAGATTTGGTAGCGTTCAAGATTTATAGGTAATGTGCAAAGATACTTCCAGAACTGACCGCTTCTCTTCTTATAAAACTTCTTTTCACCATTATCTTTCCAAAAGCTTTCTATAAGTGCTGGGTTTCCTGTTTGCTTAAGAGCTTCCAAAATGGCTTTCTGGTCATTTGTCAGTGTGCTTTCATCTCTATATGGTCTCTTTTTTGGTTTGCCTTTCTTTACATCTGACATCGTTAAGCCTTCATATTCTGTTAAATCATACATCTTTATTTCGTAAGATTCTTTATGTTTGTCAAGAAGAAGTCATAGTGCATTTCAACAATACCTGCAGCATTTGCTTCTATCTCTGATATAAAGTTCTCCTTCAAGAGCTGATGTAGTAATGTTCCAATATTATTGAGGTTTAACGTAGAACATTCATACTTTCCACCAAGTTTATAACATACCATCCATCTCTGTTGCGAGTTTATTTTAATTTTCTCTAAGAGTCTCATGAAAACCTTACCGAAATGTTTGTGTAAGTAGTCTCTGTTTGGTTCATCTAAAGCTTCGATGTTAAAGTCAATGAGTCTATTGCCTGACTTCACATTTCTCTTCCTATTCTCTTCATCTTTCTTTAACCATCTCTCACCTTCTTTTGGTTTGTCGTCAATGGAACGAATGACATCGTTAGCTTTGCGAACTTGTTCTATAGCACTTTTAAACATCTCTCTTCTCTGTTGTTTCAGTGTGTCATCTCTCTTTCGTGTTTCACCAACGTTTGCATTTGTTATGTCAAACATCTCTCTTCTTACTTCATGAGGTACAGCTCTTCTTGTTTCACCAACGTTTGCATTTGTTATGTCAAACATCTCTCTTCTTACTTCATGAGGTACTGAACGTCTATGATATAAGTCAATAGCAATGTCATTTAAAGGAAATGCTCTTGCATGGACTTCGTCCTCGCCGCGTTGCGGCTTTATGAACTCATGAATTCTATCATAACTTATTGCACCATTATAGTCTTTAATGAAGTCAGCGAGTGCTTTTTTGTTTGTTGCGTAATGCTTTGCAACATCTATATTAGCTTCTGTAAGAAGTTGTTTTATTTCCGAGTGTTCTAACTTAGACAACTTCCGATACATCTTTAGTAGGAAATAAAAAAATATTTTTTGAAAAAATTAGATTAGATTTTTTTTAAGTTATTTTTCAAAATAATTTAATATTTTTATTTTAATGAAACACATGCAAGATTGCAAGTTCTTTTCATACAATGCTCTCGCTACTGCCATCAAGAATGAGTTCAATAATGCTTCAAACGTTAATGTTATCTTTAACAAGAAGTTTGTGAAAGAATCTAAGTTTGGTCAGTATGTCAGACCATTAGCTATCGTCATTGACCGCAAACGTTATACTTCACAAGAGTTAGCAGTAGTTTTGAAACAAAAGGGTTTCTTCGTGAATGTCAAAGATACACACTATACTGTCATAAAGAACTCCAACATTGACTTCTTCAGTATTGCTATGAATCTTTCCGAACAGAAAGAATATAAGAAGGGTGAAACATCTGTGAAATATTATCCTTCATCTCTGAAGACAATAACGAACAAAGATGTTATACAAAAGTTCTTACCAAAGGTTGAAGAAGCTTCAATTGACATTGACGAAGGAAGTGAAATGGTTGAAGAAATTGACCCTGAAGCTATTTAACCAAAAATATATTTTTGGTGAAGAGGTGAGATATCACCTGTTTTTTCACCTCATTCTCTCTTCGTTAATGTTGTCGTGACTTCTTCGTTAATGTTGTCGTGACTTCATTCTTCCTCTTTGAAGTTATCGAAATATTCTGTTATTTTTTCCTTCAGTAATGTTAAGTCTTCTTTGAAGGTAAGTATTGTGCAACCTTTGATGTCATAGTGTGTTTGAGGAAGAGTATTTTTGACAATTTCTTTTATTTGCTCATTCGGTGTCATTGAAATCGGTAAGTTTTCACGATAGAACCAGTTTCTGTCAGATTTATATATTTTAGCAAGGTCGTAAAAGCTTTTGTTGTTTCTTCTGACTAAATGCAACATAACCATATCTCTATCTTCTTCTTTCTCCAACTCTTCAGTATAAATCATATACTTATAACTCTTTTCCTTTCCTTTTGGTACTGAACGTGGTATTCTTTTCTGTATGCTTTTGTCTTTGGATTCAATGACTTCATCTTTTGCTTGAAGTTTCTTTTCCATCTCTCCACGTTCTGCTTTATATAGTTCATCTAACATCATGAAAATATAACAAGCATAACGAGGTGAAGCCCACATTGCTACAGCATTTACTAAAAGTCTATGAACATAATAACCTTTCAAACCAGGTGCCAAATTCTTGCGATTTTCGTACGGAATCTCTTCCCTCGGTTTTCCGAGGGAAGCAATCATATGAGGAAATTCTTCTAAAAGTTCTTTTGCCTGTTGGTTTTCAAACCAATGATATGCTTGCTTTGTAGAACGAAGAGCGTTCATTATACTTTGCATTTGATACATATCATCTTTGACTGAACGAATGAGTCTCAATTGTTTGTTATATTGTATGTATTCGTATTCTTCATTTATGGCTTCATGAACGATAGCAGTTGTTGTGTTCTCTAATGTTGACATTACTGTTCTTACATACAGGATAAAAAAATAAATAAAATAAAAACTAACTTTATTTTTTCTGAGATAAACACTATTTCTTCACAACATTAAATTTTATCCTGTATGAAATGACTTTAAAAAGATTATTGACTGACTTCGAATACTATCTCATTGACGCACTGACAGACCCTCAAAACTGTGTTGAAAGTTCTTTAAGCTTTAAGATTGAAGGTACGACGCATTTTGTCTTCACTTACGTATTGAAAGAATATGACCGTTATCATAACGAAGTGAATCAAACACTAATAAAATTTGTAGATAAAAAATTGGTTAACAATGAATATTTTAAACGTGAAGACCCAAACACTGCTGGAGATGATGAAGAATACAGACAAGTTATTGAAAAAAATAACGCAAGATTAGATGCAATAGAAAAGAAGTTTAATGAATGTCTTACAAACACGTATGAATATCTTATGCAGTGGGAAGCCAGATGGAAATAAATTTACGTCAAATATGCAATTTATAAAATCTTATGTCGACAGGCTACGTAGCACAGTGGTCTAAGGTGGTGTTATGGAGGGGTCAAGGTCTGTGGTTCGAACCGCGACAGCGCCGTATTTTCTTATTTTCTTTATTTGTCTTGTTTGTCGTGAATAAAAAGTGTCATAAAAGTGCTCTATCTTCCACGGGAATAAATAAAAAATTTACTTTATTTCTTCTTTATTTCTTTGTTCCCGTGGAAGAAGGGTTTTGCTGTTTTTTCTCAGCCGAAATCAATGATTTTTTCATTTTTGGAATCCTTAGCGAATGAGGAATCTTTTCTCTCGTGGAAGCTTTGACCTAAAATATAATTTAGGTGAAGAGGTGAGATGTCACCTGTTTTCTCACCTCTTTTTTCACCCTCGTGACTTTGTCATAACTTCTTCGTAAATGCTTTGTCATAACTTCTTCGTAAATGCTTTGTCATAACTTCTTCGTAAATGAGTGTAAATGACCAAAAATATATTATAGGTGAAGAGGTGAGATGTCACCTCTTTTTTCACCTAATTTCTCACCCTCATGAATTTTCATGAATTTCCTTAAGATAGAAAAATAACGTTAGTTTTATTTTTATTTATTTTTTTATTTTGTATGTAAAGATATGATTTCAACAATCGGCACAACAACAATTCAAGCCGCGAACGGCGGGACTCTGTCCACAACAACTTCACCAAACTCGTTAGTCATGAATCCAACATCTATGTTAGTAGAGATGAAAAGCTTCATTCCTTCTTCATATACTTTCGAAACAAAAATCCAGAAGATAAAGCAAGAACTTTTAACAAGTAATTTAGACTGTAGTGCGAAAGATGAAACAAATGAACAGTATCTTTATGAAATGCAGGACATTATTGACCATTTACCTAAACTACCTGAAATTCAGCATCAAAAACTAACTATTCCTGAATTCGATGAAATAGAAGTGAAACCAACTGACTCAGTAGAAATAAAGAAGTTCATTCGAAAGGTAAACTATGAGTTTCTAGGATTTCATTGCAACCATAAGGTTATGGACAAAGATTGCGACATGGTATATAAGAATGTTTCTGACATATATAAATCCGGGGAGTTTAAGACCTACGATAACTTTGTTTCGTTAGTTGCTGAATGTGTATGGCAGATAAGAGATAAAGATAGAAGAGGTAAAATATGGAACGAACAGATAAGACCAACTGCTTTTGAGTTAAAGAAAACCATTGACGCCTTAGTTGTTTTAGCAGGTAAGGTTTCAGAATATAACGCAAAAATGAATCCGCAATGTTCTAAATGTAAAGCAGCAATTAGGAAATATAACTACTCCGTCAAAGAGATAGAAAGAATGCGAAACGACTATGCAGACTTAAAGAAAGAAGCAGAAAAGCCAGCAGAAAATAAAATGGACATGTTAGCATTTCTGAACAAAAACTATCCAACTGCTGACGATTTCCTTCTATCTGACGTCAAGAAGAAATATAAAGAAACTTTCGGCATTGTTAAAACTTTTGACATACTGACAGAAGAAATAGAAGCTACGAAATTGTTTAGGATTTCAAATATACATCGTACAATTCATGTAAAACGCTTGTGAAAAACTGGGGTGAGAAAACAGGTGAGAAAACGGGTGACATCTCACCTCTTCACCTAAACATTATTTTTACTGAATTTAGCAACAAAATTCTGAGTAAAATAATTTTTAGGGCTTGTGTCAAACCGTTGAGTTTTCACAAAATTTAAAAAAATAACGTTTACCATGTGAAACGTTTATAAAATAACTAGGGTGAGAAAACAGGTGAAAAAACAGGTGAGATTTCACCTCTTCACCTAAACATTATTTTTGGTGTAAATTTATGACAAAAATAAATGGTACCATTAATAATACATGACTGTTCTCATTCATGTCTGATTTACATCCAACGAAAAAGTTTAGAAGAATTTTCTTATTCTTTCTGGCATGTTTTTATCTTTCCAGTACTCCCGCTCTAATGGTCCCAGATGAGTTGGTTTAGATTCTCTCAAGTTCTTAGATGGTATAACATCTTCAACGCCTCCTTCATATCTTACTTTATAAGTGTCATCGTTTGTGTTATAGTCAAGTATTTCAATAACCACTCCTCGCTTTGCTTCGTCAATGGTTTCAGCAAGTTTGCCATTACTACTTTCGACTAATTTATGTCGAGGGTAAAATGCTATGGAGTCGTCAGCAGCTTTTATAAGATATCCATTACCTTGCGTAGAGTCTACGATATAATAATTTCGACTTAACCTTAACGTTTTCTTTGTCAATGGTTTGTCGTCAAGAACTACACGAACTTTTGTAGCCAGGAATGAGAGTAAATTGTGTTGAATTTCTGATATTTTGTGTTTGGCTTCGTTTCTTTGTATATACTTTTCTTCTTGTTGTTGTGTCATTGAATTTGGTGTATGTCCTGTTGTAGAATGTGTTGAGGAATTATATACTTCGAGAAAATGTTTCATTGTTTCTTCGGTAAAGTCTCGCTCTTGATTTAAATCTCTGAGCGTTCTTATGAAGCGGTTAATGATACGAGTATGTTATGGTTATGGTCTTCAGTAGTGTAGTGAGTTATGTTATGCTTAATGAGAAATTCTGTGATTTCATTGCTGAGGTATGCACTGTCTTGGTCTGATGTTAAAATACTTGGGTTATGTTCTGCTACAAACTTTTGTAAAACTCTTAACACTTCACGAGTTCCTTTATTTTTCATTGGATATGCATATGCTTTACGAGTGTTAACATTTATGAAGATGAGGAATGGTTTATGTCCTCCTTTTCTGCTTTGAATGAGAGTGTCAAATTGGTATCGTCAGGAGTGTTGGAGTAAATTGGTAAAAGTAGTCGTAAGGGTTTATTTTTGTTTGATGTACAACATTTTTGTCAAAGAACCTTTTCACTTCAGCTCTGTTAGTAAATCCCCAACTCTTTGCAGCTTCATTGAATTTCTTAAATGACCTCCATGGATGTTGTTCGAATACTTCTTTCAAGCTCATTTATGTAAAAATAAAGATTTTATTCTAGGCTCAAGTGCGTTCATTGAACGCGGTACCATGCAAATACAGTCACAAATGGTGGCATGTAATCTGCACCCGAGCCTGTTGGATTTGTTGTGAAAGTATGGGCATGATTTCCTGCGGTTCCACAGAAAATACCTGCGCTTGAATCTACTGGGTCACTTGAAATATCATATCTATGCATTCCCTGTCTATCCGAACCTGCTGCAAGATTTGTATAACCTCTTTTTGTTATTGAATGTGAATGACTACCTGTTGTGTTTGTAGTTCCTGTATGAGTGTGCGGTGGAAGGTTTGCTTCAGTAATTTTCTTCGAACCTCCTGTTTGCTTTGAAGAGTTAGCACAGTATAAGAATTTGTCTACAATCTGCTGCCATGTACCAAAACCTAAAACTGTTGCTGGATTTGTTGAGTTCATTGACGTATAAATAGAGCCTATAGGATATAATGTTTGAAGTATTTCTGTCTTTAATGTTTGAAGCTCTGTTTTGTCTGCTTTCTTGTCATATAAATCTTGAGCAGTGAATTTAATATTATGTTCATCCTTCATGACATAAACATCTTTACATCTAATGTTTTTCATCGTCGTTATGTCGTCATCCGATGTTAAACCTTGTGGAAAGTTAGGAGGTTTACAATATAATGCATCCCCACCAGTTTCTTCAACCGTTCCTTCAATACTTTCTATAGCAACAGTTGTGAAGGATTTATGTGTATGGTTCTTGTCTGCTTTCTTATCTAACATTGCTGGTAGTTCATGTGCTTCAAAGTTTCTGACATGACCTTCGATATTCATACATTTGTTATTTAAGGAGTTTAGTGTATCTTTTACGCTTGTACTTGGATTCTCTAAAGGTGCACTTGAACCAAGGGTATAGTTCAATATTATGTCGTCTGCTCTAACAGTTGAGAAGGATTTATGTGTATGGTTCTTGTCTGCTTTACTGTCTAAAGAAGTTTGAAGTTCATTTATATCGGAGATGTTGTGTTTATGAGATTTCAAAACTTTGTTCGTTGCGTCAAGTTCAACTTTGTCAGCTTTACTTTTAATAGCATCTTCAAACGTTATTTTTGCCTTAACTCTTAACATAAATCTTGGTTCAACTAATACACCGTTAACATTGAAAGTAGAGGCATAAATTTCACCGGTATAACCAAATGCTTCTGGTGCTTTAGCTACATCATACTGTACAGTACAGCTTATGTCATAACCTTTAGCACGAATGTATTTATATCTTCTTTCATTAACATTTTTTGTCTTCGCTTCATCACTTCGTGTTAAATATCCATGGTAGTCCGTTTATAATCTGTTCGTCTGAAGTTATATAATGAACGTGGGTTTTTATCTGCTTTTTCGGCTAATTTTCTCATTAACATCATTCACTTCTAATTCAACTCTTCCGCCAGAACTCTTATTATCATTAATCTTTTTCATTAATTCGGTAATTACGTCATAAAGACTATATTCTGTTTTCGGTTTTGTAAATAATGAGTCAAAATTTCTTTTCATCATTACATCGCTGACATTAATGATATCACCAATTCCTTTTTCATTTATTCTCTTCATTAATTCTGCAATAATGACGAATATATAATCTGTTAATTTATTCTCTTCATCGAGGGTTATAGAATGTTTTGAAATTGAATCATTAACTCCTCTAAATAAATGCAATAACTTCAGGATACACGTTTTTAATGTCTTGAATAACCCGACAGTATCCTCGCCACTATGTGGCTCTGAGCCCGTTGGGCTCTGTTGTTCATGTTCTTCGTTCCCGTCGTTACGTGGTTTTATATCTCTAACCATCATCAACGCAGCCATAACCGGAGGGTTTGTTGCTACCTGTTCGAAAATCCGTCCGTTATGTATGGTATATCTAAATAATTTTTTGTGTTTGTTAAAACCTTTTGAAACAAGTCTTTTAAAACCATCTACAAAATTTCCTGTTTCACCTAATGTTCTTGCAGCATTTACAAGCTCACCATTCCGCTTTTGACCCCAAAAACGTCCATATTGCATTTATTTCACTCTGTATAGTTGTCCATTCAGCGAAACTAACACCCGCATTCGCTAAGCTGTCTGCAATGCTTTTCGTTAGCTTGAAAATAGTTTTTATCTGAACCATCCAAACCTTCGAACTTCACTATATGGTTGTAATTTCTTATAGCATATCTTATAGCATCTTTGTCATTTACTATGGTTATTTTGACTCAATAGGAGATAAGAATAGTTTTGCCATAAATGCTGTTCAGAATGAGTTTTATAATTTCTTGTAATGTTTCTTCTTTCTTATACTTTAACCTTACTCAAAAACTTCTTTACTTCATCTCTTATTCTCATATCTCTGTTTCCATCGTAATAGTATCCTTGCAACACTTCACATTTGACACCTTTGATATTTTATGAGGTCTTGTAATGTTATATGGTCAACATACATGAGACAGCAAGTGTTTGAACTTCTTGGAACGTTAAGTTCTGGATTTAGTTCAGGGTCGCAAACTATTAAATGAAAGTGTCTGGGTATACCAATCTCTGTTATCTTAATGAGAACAAAGAAGCCAGACATAAACTTTTCACCAATGGGTTCCTTTTGGTCATCATCGAATAAATGTCTCATGAGATACTCTGTGCTTAACATTTCTTCCTTCAATACTTTTGGAATACCTTCTAAAGTATAAAAGTCTTGCTATAGCTGAAGGATATAATGAAACAGTGTCAAGTCAGCAAATGAGTTTCTTTTTGCTCTTTTGTTTCATGTTATCTGAACAACATACATCTTCCACCTTGAATGCATCTCGAAATAAATTTCTCTTGGTTTATTTGAGAGGTCATAAAGATTTCCATTCGGGAAGTATACTCTGTTCTCAAACAATTTGTTAGAATAGAAAAATATCTAACGTAGTCATAAACGTTTAAATCAAACTCTTTCATAAGTCATTGCGGAACTTTACAAAACTTCTCTTAAAAATTCTTACATCTTGTTTGCAGTAAAACGTGCATATATTTTTCTAAGTCGAAGTGGTTTTTCATCTATTCTGCAACCTTTGATGGAATCTATGTTTTTCATGAATGTATCTGCATCATAGGATAACTTACATGCTTCAGAAATGACACCAGTTTCTGTGTCATTTGCTAACAAACACTGCTGTAGTAGTTATATGGAAATACTTCTTTCGGTCCTGTTTGTAAGTTAAACATAGCAGGAAATAGTTTAAAGCTTCTTATTTATAACACTGTAAGAGTCTTTATAATAATTTGCCCGTCCTTTATATAAACCAGTTATTTGCATTGTTCGTGAACCTTTATGATGGGAGTTCCTTTTCACTTCTGTCATGTGTCTTAAGATGAAGTTTATGTCATAACTGAGGTTATGGAAAATATATTAAACTCTGTCAGCAAGTCTTTCCAAAATTCTGTTGCAACAGTTTTGCCCCAAATGCTTTCACTCACTGAACCCATCTTCAACTGTCATAACAGATGTTAAAAGCTTTATGAAAGCGCGTCTGTGCTACACTCAAAGTCAGCAAAGAAAACGTGCTCAGGAATGAATTTACATTTAGCTTTATTTACTTCTTTTGACTCTGCTTTCTCTTCAGTTGTACACAATACTATTTGGGATATGTCAAATCTTTAAATGGTGCAAGGTTCTGTTTATATAAGTCAGTAGTATATGTGAAAAGTTCTCCATAAGAAATAGTTTCGAAATATTTGCACTCCACATATGTTTTCATAACATCCCATAGCGGTGTTGTTCTATCCATAACGAACTACATATTTATCTTCTCTCTTTGTATAAATCTTCATCTGTTTCTCAATGTTCATTCCACCACACTCCTTCAAGATTCTATATAGTTTCGAATGAAGTATGTTGTCATTTGGTAATAATCTTTCATTTAGCATGTAGTGGTCCTTCAACAAGAAGTAAGTCAATAGTTCTAACAGTTTCGCATTCTTTTGGTATGTTCTCTTTATTTCATTATGTCTTGAGTCATTGAATAACCAATGGTAAACATTAAATGCTATACCTGTTGCGTCAGAAATTTCTTGTACTTTACTTTGAGGAAAGTCTCTAACACGAATGACTTCTCTCCATGTGGTCAATAGTTTCTTCATTTACTCCAGCCTGAATGCAAGCATAAACGAAACAATTGTCTTCTGTCATAAGTGCTGCAGTTCTTTTGTTCAATTCATTGAAAGATTTGGTAGCGTTCAAAGATTTATAGGTAATGTGCAAAGATACTTCCATAACTGACCGCTTCTCTTCTTATAAAACTTCTTTTCACCCATTATCTTTCCAAAAGCTTTCTATAAGTGCTGGTTTCCTGTTTGCTTAAGAGGCTTCCAAAATGGCTTTCTGGTCATTTGTCAGTGTGGCTTTCATCTCTATATGGTCTCTTTTTTGGTTTGCCTTTCTTTACATCTGACTCGTTAAGCCTTCATATTCTGTTAAATCATACATCTTTATTTCAGTAAGATTCTTTATGTTTGTCAGAGAAGTCAATAAGTGCATTTCAACAATACTGCAGCATTTTGCTTCTATCTCTGATATAAAGTTCTCCTTCAAGAGCTGATGTAGTAATGTTCCAATATTATTGAGGTTTAACGTAGAACATCATACTTTCCACCAAGTTATAACATACCATCCATCTCTTGTTGGGAGTTTATTTTAAATTTTCTCTAAGAGTCTCATGAAAACTTACCAAAATGTTTGTGTAAGTAGTCTCTGTTTGGTCATCTAAAGCTTCGATGTTAAAGTCATGAGTCTATTGCCTGACTTCACATTTCTCTTCCTATTCTCTTTCATCTTTCTTTAAACCATCTCTCACCTTCTTTTGGTTTGTCGTCAATGGAACGAATGACATCGTTAGCTTTGCGAACTTGTTCTATAGCACTTTTAAACATCTCTCTTCTCTGTTGTTTCAGTGTGTCATCTCTCTTTCGTGTTTCACCAACGTTTGCATTTGTTATGTCAAAATTTCTCTTCTTACTTCATGTGGTACAGCTCTTCTTGTTTCACCAACGTTGCATTTGTTAATGTCAAACATTTCTCTCTTACTTCATGAGGTACTGAACGTCTATGATATAAGTCAATAGCAATGTCATTTAAAGGAAATGCTCCTTGCATGGACTTCGTCCTCGCCGGTTGCGGCTTTATGAACTCATGAATTCTATCATAACTTATTGCACCATTATAGTCATTGGGATGTCAGCGAGTGCTTTTTTGTTTGTTGCGTAATGCTTTGCAACATCTTATTAGCTTTCTGTAAGAGTTGTTTTATTTCCGAGTGTTCTAACTTAGACAACTTCCGATACATCTTTAGTAGGAAATAAAAAAATATTTTTTGAAAAATTAGATTAGATTTTTTTTAAGTTATTTTTTCAAATAATTTAAATATTTTTATTTTAATGAACACATGCAAGATTGCAAGTTCTTTTCATACATGCTCTCGCTACTGCCATCAAGAATGAGTTCAATATGCTTCAAACGTTAATGTTATCTTAACAAAAAGTTTGTGAAAGAATCTAAGTTTGGTCAAGTATGTCAGACC